TGTCGCTTGTTAAGAGTTGACGCTTGTTACGAATTGTCGCCTGTAACGAATTTTTGCCTCTCGCTTTTTGGTGTTTCAGGAGAACTCGAAATTTTTCAAACCATTAAAAAATGGTGATGAAAATATTAGTACAAATTATTAGAATTCCACCACTTTAAGCACGCGGTAAAAGCTCAACTGTACACCTGGTCAATTAAATCACACCTTTGTCAAAATTTAATGTAAGACTGATTTTTGCATAGTTTGTTCAAATTTTGTTATTGATTTGTTTATGCAATTTCATTATTTCCTTGTGTACCATTAAGACCCTATTGAACAATTAGTTAGGCACAGAACAAGAAAGAATTACATCGAAAATGAGTAGATTCTCACTATACCAAAAATATCAAATTTTGCAAAAATTAAGGTAATATTGATTTATTTCAACCACTTCACGAAATGGCTGCAAAAACTATGAAGTATGTTGGTTATTTGTTTACAGCCGAGCAACGCAAAATCTTGTAGGAATTAAATCGAGATGCAACGAAACAGCGTCTACTGTTGGTGATGAGTCGGTTGTAAATAAAAACTGTTAAAAACGTCTAATAAACTTCAAAAAAACTGTTTTAAATAAATGCGTTTTCCAAAAAAAATTTTCACACCAACTCCCTGAAAAAAAAACAGAGAGCAATCAAATGAAAAAAAAGCTTACTATGTTTTTTCCCTCTGGAAAACTGTCGAAATTGGTCAATTATTTTGACTTGATTGCTTAGAAACAGTCTGTTGAGTCTAAACAACTAAAGCAAACTATGTTTTTTCCCTCTGGAAAACTGTCGAATTTGGTCAATTATTTTGACTTGATTGCTTAGAAACAGTCTGTTGAGTCTAAACAACTTTTCTGTTATGAAAAATTTTGCGTTAAAATTATTTTATTTTTTACGACACCTAACCAAGCCACCTTCGCCCACAGAACTCCAGCATTGAAAAGAATCAGAAACAAGAAACCATTGAAGTGAAGTTTGATTATAGTAGGAATTGTTTAAATCATTAGAAAATCACACTATCGCAACTGCCGTAAAAAAAGTAATCCGAAAAAAGGAAGGCCGACGTTTTTTCTATCGGATATTTTATTCAATTTGCAAACAAACAGGCCCTGGCCTGGTTCAAATCAAGATATTATGCGTCCAATGCATAAATTAAATGCCAGGCGAAGATGTAGGATTCAAGTTTATAGGGGAACTAAGCCCACAATTTTAAAGCGAGGTACCGAAAAAGCCGGAGTTCAATTTTGCCAGGCGAGGATGTAGGATTCAAGTCTATAGGGGAACTAAGCCAACAATTTTAAAGCCGGATAACCAAAAAGCCGGAGTTCAATTTTAAAAACAATCCAAAAATGATTGAAAAAACATTGTCATTTTTCCCGAAAAAAAATAAATAGCAGACACTGAAAAAAACAAGGTCCGGCTGCAACTTGAAACCCCGACTAGTAGCCGCAAGACCTCAAGGTCAAGTGAAAAGGGGTCTGGAAGTTCTAAGAATCGATACTGATGCAACATCATTTTTAATTACAAATGAGGAAGAAAAGTTGCTTACGCGAAAAAAGTCTAGTTGTCGATTACATGACGCTTGCTCTCGTAACTGTTATGAATTTAAGTACCTAACCAGAAACAATGTCGAAAGTGCTTAAGTTGACAACCATGAAACTAAAAACTTACTATTGAAATTACAAACATTAAAGTCAAATTTTTGTTTCAAAATCTATTGTTTATATCAGTAGTTACTGAAATTATACGCAAGAAGTTAAATTTATTTTTTCAAGAAACTGAGCTAGTCGATAGCACACTTGATATCATCAAAATCGTCAGTGAGTTTGCTACACAAGTGGTTAACATGATATATTTGGCTGCGTTCTATTGGCATATGTGTCATAATTCCTTTGTTCCTAGTGTTAAAGAAATCGACTTTTAAATTATTACTTCAAAACAATATTTATTTCTACATAATTCAACATCTTGGTTATAAATATTGCAGATGTTAATAAAGCGTTCATAAAAATTTTTTTTATTGGAAATAGTTGCAGATTGACTATTGTGGTTTTATGTCATAACAAGGTACTCATAACAATCTCTAGTTAGAAATAGCTGTTTCTAGGGGCGGATTTAGGGCGGGGGGGCGGACGCCCCCCCCCCCCTCAGGGATTCGACCCCCTGCCGAGCCGACCCAAAGGGTCCCCCCTTTGGTACTTTTTAAGAAATCCATTTTTGGCCAACCGACCCTAAAACTTTTCTAAAGGCGCCTTTGGCGCCAATATATTCTCTTTTTGAGGGGGGGATCGCGCGCCGAAAAAACGCAATTTTTTGGTCAAAATTTTCCAAAAAGTGCCTAAAAACGCCTTTTTTGGACTGTTTTTTCAAATTTTTGCCTGCGGCGCAGAAAATGTTGCCAAAAAAGGGACTAAACCATGCTTAGGGAGAGCTCAAAAATCAATTCGGTCGACCTAAAAAAAAAAGGTCAAAATTTTTCGAATTTTTTTTGAAAATCCACTGCCCCCCCCCCCTCGAGAAAATCCTAGGTCTGCCCCTGACTGTTGCTCTATTTTAAAGCTCTATAATAAAAATGCAGAAACTCTCAAAAAAACATTGTGATTAATTATGTTGCTCACTTTTTTTCCATCCTTTTTGTTTTTAATTTTGATACATACTTTCGGCATAATTCATCATGTCAGTGCCATACACAAATAGCTTTTTTTTGAAGCCAATGTGGCTTTGCTATCTGGTGTTTCCGGTGTCCCACTCTTTAACCCTACGATATTTAACTCCCTCTGTTTACACCCCCTATATCATAACCCCGTAACATGATAACCCCACAACAAATTAACCCCCTTTTAATGACGATAATTTGTTCCAAATTAAGTCCTTTTTATAAGTGTAGGAGTAGTCCAATTAAGCTTACTAATTGAGGCCTGAAAAACTAGTCTTAATTCACTTGATGCCTCTAGCATCTCAAAAGTAATTGCATTTCGATTAGTTAGAGAAATAATCCCTCACTCACGCGTTTAAAACAGAGATAACCTACATGGTGCTAATTGAAGGCAACAAAAGACGTTTGTGAGTTTTATAAAAAATCATACTGCCTATTTCTTTAACCATTGTTATACCACTCTATCAGATCAGATATAATGTTTGAAGCGTCATTCCATTTTACTTTATCTTCGAAAGATAAACAAATGCTAGTGGTATCAGGCCACGAGTATTACCTTAAACGAAAAAAACAAAACAACAACAAATTGGAACTGCTCAAAGTACCAAACCCATAAATGCCGCGCAACAGCAATTACGGAAGGAGAAAATTTTATTGAAACGAGGGGTCAACATAATCACGATATTTCCACGGGCAAACCTGATGCTCGACTAGTTTTGAAAAACATCAAGGAGCTAAGCGATAGTAACACCCCAACCGTCGCAGTCGCAACCGCCATTCAGCCAATTACAGACAACATTGCCACTCAACTAGCCCTACCATCCAAAGAAAATTTAGTTCGCACCGCACAACGAGCGCGCAACGAAGAAAAAACTGAATTGCATTTCTTTCGCGCTATGGCGAACTTGAGTTAAATATTTGCTATTTAATTTATATTGCCAAGCAATAAAATGTTTTCCAAGTTTAATTATTTTCCTTGATTTTTCAAAATTGAGCTAGAGTCGATTTGAAACCGGCAAAATAACAAATACATACAAGGTGTTGACGTTTCTTTTCCCTCCGCCCAACCCTGTAAGGTTAACCCATTTATTGTACCCTTGATATACCCGTTATCATATTGACCCGAAATTCAACTTTTTTGGGAAAATTGGAAAATTTATTGTGCCGCCAGGGATTCGATCCTTTGATCTCTTTGAGACTAATGCTTTAACCATTATACCATGAGGCCTTTGGTTGTCATCCGAAAATTTCTTCCAACTTTGGCTCTTTGATCTTAATTAAGCCCATGTTTGAGTTTTCAAAGCGTAGATCAATTCTGTCGGCGCCAAAAGATCAAGGTCAAGAAATTCAAATGGTTTTGGACTGTTTTGTATATGCACCAGTTTGAATCATGTCGGTCGGATTCGTTTTCAAGTTCATATCAAAGTCTAGACTATCGGCAAGGTCATTTCTGTTCAAATCTAAAACGCATTTAGCAGCGTGCGTGTTAACTCATTTTGGTTCGCAAAATTTTTCGCAATTAAAGCTTTGATGTTTACCGACGATATGGTTCCGAATCCTTTTCAAGTAACTTTCACTTTGATTCTAACAATTGGTTTTAAAAAGGGGTTAAATTGTAGTGGGGTTATCTGATTTGGGGGTTATATGAGAGGGGGTTAAGAAAAAGGGGGTTACAAAACACGGGGTGATAAGCTTGGGAACCGGTGTTTCCATCATTGTTTTTTTCCTTATGATAGCTATCTGTGTTTACAGATATTTCGAAGCATAAACTTTAAATATATGTGCGTAGTTTATATATTCTTGACACAAAGCAATAAAATCAAGTGGTCTGTTGCTGTGCGAATAGGACAGAAAATACTGTTCGCATTCTTCAAAAACCCGCAAAAATCTGTTTTTTATTCAAATTTGCTTGGCTTTTGTGCGATAAGAAGAAAGTTTTAAGTTTAAGTAAACTAATCAAGGTTTACTACTTTTTTTACTTCGAAACTGAATTTAAAACTTTGCTGCGTTTTTTAGTGATGATTATTTTTGGTATCTGATTTTGTGGAAACAAAAAAAAACTTAAACACCCGAAGACTTAAGATCCTCCGCTTTTTCAATGACAGGAACATTAAGGTGAAAACAATGCAGTAAGTGTAAGATAAACATACGACACAATCTTTTATCGTTTTCAAAGATTGAGCCCTGTTTTAACTTCGTGGAGTCGAACAAAAACAGTTTATGCCACAAACATATGTAAGCACTGTTCTTGGTTCATAATCACGTTCCCGATGATTAACCTAATGTGATCGGAGATTTTGTGCTGTCTACAGCTGCAAAACTCGAATTTGAAAGCTTTCAATAATTCGTGTAAAATTACAAAATTTGAATAAATAACGAGCAATACCTTCAAGCCAAGTCTAGAAACGGTTTTAAAATTATTATAAAAATCTTCCCATTCTTTAACATTCCATGCTGATTGTACTTACTACAACTTAGAACGATCGAAGCAACAACGAATGATAAATGTTTAGACTCATTTTCAGTTTACTCGTAGGATTCAATGCATAATTTTTCAGTGAAATACAGTTATGATAACGTTTTATGAACGTAAGGTTCTACATTGAATCCCACTCTTTAAATGAACACACTTTAACCGAATAGAATTGATGAATTATTTATATGTGAAAAATTATTCAGAACATTTAAGCTGATGTAAATTCTAGCTTCAACCATAAATGCACTGAAATTTATCAGTTTGAAACAGTCATTCGACATTTTAAGACCATCTAATACACAGTTGCGACTTCATATGTTCACATGTGCAATGATGACTGCGCATCAGATAAACCCTCTCTTTTGTATTTATGCGACTTCTCCAACCATCCGATTGTAGTCGTCTTGAGTCTGCTTCAGAGCTTTTCGTTCTTTCTCGAACATGTCACGCAGAGCCTCCAGCTGAAACAAACAGAATGATCTCAAACAATACATTGCACACAGGTACGAAGCATAGCTACGCGCCACATTGGAATAAAAAAAGTCAGCTGTTAGAGGGGGAAAATGTTAGTAGACGCGAACAGAAAACACTCAAAATCACAACAGATTTATGTACAGAATAAAGAGAAAATTAAAGCTCTATCAAATTTGATGAACACAATTGCTACTATTTGAAACAATTTATACTTATTCACTCCAAGCCCGAAAAACCAAAAAAGACAACAAAATGCTCGAATCGGATTAGTTCAAACGGCTTCGCTGGAAGCTAATTTGAGCTAATTGCGCTGTCAAACTAAATTATGCGTTAAACTAATTAATGCACTGTTATATTTTGGGAACAAAAAGACCAAGAGTGAAATTAAAACTACAACTAGACTAGCCTCTGACTGGAGTTTGAGTTTTTCGGTGGTGGAGTCTGAGGCGCGTCGGCGCTCCTCCTCCAGCTGTCGCTCCAGAGCACCAATGCGCTTCTCCTTCTTCCCAATCTCCTCCTCCTGCTTCTCCAGTCTCCGTCTGAACTGCTTCATCTCCACACTCAGACGCATAATCTCATCATCTAGCTGCACCACAGCACTACACAAAACAGATCTCTTCGCTTATTTCCCCACAAAAGGAGGAGATTCTTTACTACATTCAAAAGTTCACATAGGATTAACCGCCGTTGAATTAGCTCTTTATAAGGTGATATTCTTTAACAAGGATCATAGGCGAGGTGGATAGTTAAAGGATCATAGGAGATCCCAATATTTATAAAGCATACCATCATCATTATCATCATCACTTAGGTAAACTTCAAGGACATTTTATTCAGAGCTCAACAATTTCAAGTGCCATACTTAGTTTCCAGCCAGTCAATCTACATCTGAGCATTGCCAGAAAAAAGCTTAAAAAAGAATTTGTACAACTCAGGCTACAATCCTACTATACACAACGCGCACTTAATTGTTTTTTCGGAAAGACGTTTTTTATGTTGCAAGTTATTTTCGATTTTGGACAACAAATTTTGTTTTCAGAGATCCATCAAACTTTGGTTACCACAGTTGGTACGATAGCTACACTCTGTGCTACTATTTCAACACAGCCATTTTCGACCACATATTTCAAAACATGTTTGAAATGCTTACGGACCAACTTTAGCGCAGGCTAGGACCAAAAGAAATCACCTTTAGTACAAAACATTCCAACTTTTCAAAATTACTGTAATTAATTTTAACTTAAATTTCAATCAGCGGTGCTTATAACTCCGAGTACATTTTTTCAAAATAAGATTCAAATCAGAAGAGCGTTCAAGGAACATACATTGTGACACAACGTCTTACTGCTGATCAAATTTATATCAATTTCACTAAATCGGGCCATGTCTGGTAACTTATCCATCTGATTTCAACTTTGAATCATTTGCTTCTAGCATGAAGACCAAGCATATTGCCTTGAACAACCATAGTGAGACCACTGTAGAATAATATGCACTAGTTGTGAGTTGGTATTTGCATATTAGTTCAATTTCCGTACCATGCTAGCTAAAAACCATATGGCCTTTCAGCTGTTAGTCAATAAACTGATTAAGCGTATTCAAAATCAACTTGACATAAAACGCATAAGCAAGCCATTCAAGCTCAAGACTACTATTCGACCATTGAATCCTAACAATGACTTGATTCGGCAGATATTGAATGGGCTTAGACAGTATTGAACTGTTTATGGTTAGATTTCAACATGATCACAGTCTATTAAATCCTCGCCAGCAAATTACAGACTCCCCACAAAAAAAAACAGACAGCACCCAGTTAGAGATGAAAGAATGAACATCGAAACCACTAGCTGAAATTTCAGCTTAAGCTTTATAAATTTCATAATCTTTTACGGACTTCGTCACTATTTTGATCAAACCAACATAACTTGAGAAAACTGGATCAATAAGCTAAGTTTTTATTCCGCAGAGAAATCTATAAATCAAAACCAATAATTGAAATTTAAGCTCATCGTATTTTTTTCGCTTTAAACTTTAGTTCTCGGAGAAGGTAATTTGCCTTCGATTTGGAAAACGAAGTCAACACAAACATAGCAAACCAGGAGTTGTAAAAGTATCAATAAACTGAAACAAACCAAAAAAATAATGATTTTTTTTCGAACATGTCCCAATTTTTTTTGAGCTGAATAGAGCACAATCTATCACTTTAAAGACCTATAACTTTCAAGACTCTATAATGATTGAAACTTTTTCGATTAATCTAACACAATTTGAAAAAACTTGAGATCCATAAAAAAAAACATATTCCACTGCATTTTTTTTTTGAAAGTTAAAGCCTTCCACAAATTAATTGAGCTGTTCCGTTTAGCCAAATCAATTGGAAATAACTTGAAAATGAATCAGAAGAAGGTCAAACAACTAATTCAAAAACTGAGGGTAACAAAACTTTCTCAGATACAAAACCAAATCGAAACAAGACTGCTCGTATCAGGGCAAAGCCCTGAATGTTCCGACTGCCTTTTAAGGTTTATGGAGCAGTAATAACATTAACAAATTAAATGTAAAAAAAAATAAAATGAAAAAAAAAATTTTCCAAAATTTGAAATTTTTTATGAAAATCATCCCCCCACGCGCGATACAAAGTACAAAAGAATAGATTTTGCTCCTTGTAACAAACCAATTATGGCGTTTAAGCTTCTTTTAACCAATTTGGAACGATTTCTAAGACGGATTAACTCTCCGCTTACGCGTTAATAGCGCGAAATATATTAGTGTTCCAAATTGGCCATAATGGCAAGCTTTAAACCCCCATAACTTTACGAAAAATGATCACAGGTGAAATATCTTTTCAAATTTGAGCTCAGGACAACAATCCCTTTCGAATGATATCTAAAAAATTCCGTCAAAAATGGCTAGTTGAAATTTATCTGAAGAAAAAATAACCCACCCCGAGCACAAATATTCCGTTACTTTCGTATCGAAAGTCGGAACAAAAAGCCTCTTCATTCCGTGACTTGACACAACCAATATCAAGCTTAAACGGCAACAAGACTGCTCGTAGCAGGGCGAAGCCCTGAATGTTCCGACCGCCTTTTAAGGTTTATGGAGCAGTAATAACATTAAGAAATTCAATGAAATAAAACAAAATGAAATTTTTTTTTTCTAAAACGTAAAATTTTTTAATGAAAATCATCGCCCCACACCCCATATAAAGTACAAAAGGATAGATTTCGCTCCTTGTAACAAACCATTTATGGCAAATAAGCTTCTTTTAACCAATTTGGAACGATTATTAAGACGGATTAACTCTCCGCTTACGCGTTAATAGCGCGAAATTTATCGCGCGTTAATTGTCCCAAATTGGCCAAAATGGCAATCTTTAAACCACCATAACTTTACGAAAAATGATCACAGGTAAAATATCTTTTCAAATTTGAGCTCAGGGCAAAAATACCTTTCGAATGATATAAAAAAAATTCCGTCAAAAATGGCTAGTTAAAAAGTCGAAATTTGTCTGAAGAAAAAAAAAACCCACCCCGAGCACAAATATTCCGTTACTTTCGTATCGAAAGTCGGAACAAAAACACTTGAGCGTACACAAATTTAGTTTTAGAAAACTGATGCAACCAATAAATGTTGTTAATGATTTAACTATTTCAAGTAAAGTGCATAATTTAGACGAAATTAGCTTTAAGTTGAAAATCTTTGAGGTATAATTCGAATTGAATGAATTATAATTCAAACAAAACAGATTAAATACGCATAAAACGGAAAATTGAGGAATTAAAAAATAGATACATCCTGTTCTGAATAAATTAGACACTTGAAAAAAAATAAAACAATCAAATTTTTCAGTCTATAAATTACGACAAATTAAGTCAATACTCGGTCAAAAAATGAATTGTTATTGACCACACTCATAAGAAAACGGAGAGTTCCTAGCTTTGCATTAAGCATTCGCTAAACCCTTTTTCTGGCCGGCCGGGGTATCGCCTCTCTATTTTTTTTCTGTTTTGGGGGATTCTGAAGAAACGAGCCAACAACACGGTTCCAAGAGGCATGCCAGCTTTAACAAACGTTAGTTGTATGCAAAGTACTCCGACGATAGTAGAAGTTTCACATGCAAGCACCAACTGGTTTTATCCTAATTTTTTAAAACTTTATTCGACAAATTGTGCGCTTTTTGGCGCAATACGGAAACTGGGCAATAAAATCCGGAGCTGAGCAATTGGTTTCATATATTCTCTGCCAGTTGATGGTAAAACGGGCAAACTCAAAAGTTTTCTGGCGAATTGCTGTAAGTTAGGGCTCATTTTGTAGGTTACAGATAAACCAATTGTTTGATTCGATAGACAGCTTGACTGTAATGAAAATAACACCCTAAATTATTTCTGCAGGGCAGTAAAATTTTCAGTGGCAATTAGGCCTGTTTCAACCAACATAAGAAACTCAAATTTCGAATAGAAAATTAGAATTTGAAATGCAGACATGCTCAAAACTTTTGTTAGTTGACGAAAATACAAATTTAGAAAACATAATCAATGAGTCATCCCGTGAACTAAGTTATTTACGGGGAAAAAGTCTAGTATCCAGCTGCAGTACCCTTGCTTATCGAAAGAGTAAAAACATACACAGAATCTGGTTAAAAATGTGCGTTTCTTTTTTTGAATTTTTGTCATTTAAACTTGCCTGTCCTAAAAAGCTGTTTTAATCTGTAATAAAAGTAGACTCACGTCTCGTGTTTCTTTGAATTATCTTCAGCCACTTTGATGTCCTTTTCTAACTTCTCTGCCTTTTTGGACGCCTGAAAAACATTTTAACTGCATTATATTACCGAAATCGTTGAACCAAGTTGGTTTTTCTAATTAATGGTGATGATACTATATAACGAAGTCGCACTGACTCTATTTCATTTCACTTACCGCCTCTGCTTTCCGGTCTGTGTCTTCGTTCATATCTTCTAGCTTCTTCACTGCTGCCAACGCTTTCTCTTCCTTTAAAAAATCGCACCGAAATTTACATAGCTGTTCAAGAAGCTCCAGTGCCTTCAAGAATTGTTAAGATAAATTATAAACTAATTTTTTTCCAATGCTTCAACTCGTTAAGTTTTATTTCAAAACATTTGTCATTTCTATCAAAGTTAATTGTCTTTTTATTATTTCCCCAGACGAAGTTTTTTATGAGCGAAGCTCTTTTTTTCACGACTCCAGGCCAGTGTTTTGAGTCTCAACTTTCAAATGGTAACAATCTTGCACCCAAAATTGGTCAGACTATTATAGACCCGAAGCTATCATTGCCAAAAAAGATTTTAATTATTATTATTTACTTAATTCGTTCTTAATAAAAATAAATAATACAAAATTGAGCATCTTACTGCGTCTTCTGCATCTCGGAGTTTATTGCGGAGAGTATTCAACTCGCTGAAAAAAAGTGAAATTAAACATTCAGTTCAAGAGCATTCAATGACTTTTTGTTCCCTTACTGTGTAACATTGTCAGACTCTCTTTCTAGTATTTGCAGTTTAGCTGTTAGCTGATCTTTGTCCCCGTTAGTCTGTGAAAGCTCTTTTTCCAGCGTCTGCAGCTGATTCTTGTAGCTCTCACTTTCTTTTTCAGCCTGAAAACAATACAATTCTTGACAAATTTAAAGCAGGATTGCCGGTTGCCGTGAAAATAGCAAAACAATGTTCCGACAACAATAATAGATGAAAAGAAATCCGAAAGTATAGACAAAAAATTTAAAAAAACTTGTTTTCTTAATTTACTTCTAACTTTTTAAGTTAACGGTGACTGAATTAGTTGAAAAAAAAACGAAAGAATGAGAAGTGATAATAGGTAAAGAAGGTTGGAATTCCAGTCGAATTGAATTGTGCGGTCAGCTTTCATCAAACTTCGTCTACATTAGTTCGTCTAAATATGACACCACACATTTGTATAGAACATTAAGTTACCTGAGTACGCGCAGCATTTGAGTTAAGACTTGAAGGCGATTTGAGTACTATATCACGGAAACTACTAACGGTAAAACCGGGTCGTACCTGGAGGATACGAAATGGTGCAGCCAGCAGATACGATAAACCCCCTAAACATCCCCCCCCCCCCCGCTTTTTTGGCACAAATCAGCATAGGAACCACCACTGGAAAGATCTCAAATTGGATCACAAGCTTAAAATTCGCGAAAGAAGTTTGGACACTAATGGATTGCTCGGAAACAAACCAGCGGTGATAGAACCAACTTCATCGAAGACCCAACTGAGGCCAAAACTAATTTGCTAAAGCAAGACAAAAATCAAGCAATAGTCGTGAAATACTAAAATCAACGAACAAAAGGTTTCAGAGAAAAGGTTAATGCGTGGCACAACAGAGTAGAGTAACGCAAACAGAAAAAGCCAAAAACTATATTAAAAAAATTATGCCTCGGAACGGAAGCCCGAAAACAATTCAGACAGAAGAGACCAAACAAAGACAAGTACACCATAACAGCAAGAACACGAGGCAGAACGATTCCGAGACATGTTCTCAGCACATATGTATAACGAAAAATAAAATTGCACAGTAACTGCTGACCGAAACAAAAAAAAACCACACTAAAAGCATTTTGCAATTAAAAAAGAATGGAACAATCAAGTAGAACTACCAGAGTTCATCAGGAGGTATTTTTCAGGTTAAGCAAGAACTAGTGCGGAGCCACAATACAGTGGAGATGGGAAGCCAAGAGCCAGAGGCGAACAATGCTTCCAATAAGGAAACCAGTTTACGCGGCACAAACATATTAAATAGGGTAGCCGTGGTGGCACTTTGATTTTGCATGTTAATGAAAGCCATTGCATCTATTTGGAGCTAGTTCGTTATTCTATTCTGCCAACGACTTAAAAGGAGAAGTCACTAGCAAAAGAGGATTTCTTACTGCAATTGCTGGCCGCAGCCTCATTTCAAAAACCAACCGATAAACGTCCAATTTCAGATATCAAGAAGAACGAACATACAGAACTTAGAAATCCTAGTCTGACACGACGTAATAAACACTACCCTCTAAAAACACAAGAAAAACTATAATCGTCCTCTAACCCCCGAGCACCTCGTGAGAGAAATCAATCAACTTCACCGTAAAATCAGAAGTATTGTAAACTGAGAATGTGAAATTGGTCCAGTCTCATAAAACACAGCAAGGCCAAATAATTATTAAGATTATCGGCTTATTCGCTACCCCGCACGAGTTGGAGCTGAAGACATTCTTCATCATCACTCGAGAAATATCCGAGCTAAAGAAAACAAAAGAAAAAAAACGAAATAACAACAAGCAACGAAAATAAGCGTATCGCAGAAGCCTCTACAAAGTCGAAGCAGGTTCAAAGTAATAGTTCAGGGTCTATTTGCTCCCCTATTTGCTTGCTTTCTCTGAAATTATCTCCACTTTCCTTTTTATGTAGTGAACAAAGGGGTGAACCTGCTGATAGCAGCAGACAGGATCAAAAGGGGTAGATAGGATCAAAATAAACAGACATTTCCCCTTTGGAACAAACATAAACCAAAAGACTTCAATCAACCGAAAAACCATCTGGTTCAGAAAAAGACACAAAAAATTAGTTGAAATAGCAATCTGTGTTAGCAAATCGAAGCAAAGCTATATCAGAATGATCAATTGAGCAGTCAAGGGTCTCACTTGTCATTAGAAAATTCAACACGTACAATCAACAAGTCCACTTTAAAGTGTGCAGTATGTAACCTACCTGCAAACAGCCCTTGTCATTGGTCGATCCAAAACTTCATATTTTTCAACAGCCTTCATAATCATACCAGTTAAATCATACCAGTGAAGTCAATTTTGACAGCGGAGTAAGTTATTTTAACTGGAGATTTCAATTTTTAGAAACTAAATGGAGTGATATGAGCTTTTATGATATGAAAATAGCATACAAGAAATTCAGACAGAAAAAAAAATCCCAATAAATCAGAAACCCAGTTGGATGCCATCCTCACTAACAACCCTGATCCAATCACTAGTGCAAAAAAGAACACTGATCGTTTCAATAGCTTCAGTATCAAGAACGAACCTTGCTCTGATCATTAGCCAATAAGGGCAAGTTTCATTGCAGGACAAAGGACATCGTGATTCCAGCATTAACAAAATATGCTTTCAAGAAAGCAAACTGGGAAACAACAAATTAGATCACTTCAATTTCATCTTTCAATCCCTACCGCTATAGCTACGTTAATTACCTAGTGAAGCAGTGGTACAAATAAAAAAAGACATTATCAATACAAACAACCCCAATGTTACCAAACACCGATCCTCACTTAACACTTGGATCTCAAAACAAGTTCGTTTCAAAATCGAAAAATCACATCAAAAAAGCCACACTGGCCCCAACCAAACATCTAAAGATCAATCAAAATAAAACATTTGGAAAAACAGTTGAAAACCCTTATTGCCTCAGATCTTAGTTATTTGCAAGCCGACGCTTTTGCGATATAGAGAAAAATTTATCTTCAAAAAAAACCCAACGATCCCACCAAAAAAGAAGCTGAACAAAAAACTATTGAATCAGACGAAGACACTCTTTATAAATGTTTACTTTCAACGCGTGTTCTCAAAAAAAGCGATAACATCAGACCACATCCAAAGAGAAATTATTAAATTAAGGAAAAGCAAATTGAAATGAAACTTGATAGACCACCGCTTAACAAATCAACAAGACCCGAAAATAAAGCAAACATTATCATCAAAAAATAATCTAAAACCCTACCAACAGGCCTTCCTAATATTAAAGAACTACAAAAAAGGTGTACCCAAGTTTCTCGAAAATAAGTCAACTATCATCTATATTTAAGGAAGGAAAAAAGCAGATGTAAGTTGTTATCACCCGATAAGGCTGCTTTGCTGCATTTCCAATGTCTTCTGAAAACTTTTACTAGATCAATTGTACGAGCACTGCCGCAAACCTACATGAAAATCGACTTTGTTTTCGATAACAGATCAGCGATGGCCCAACTTTTGATCTTTTTAGATTCAATATACAAAAAGACAATAAAAAATTAAAAGAAATCTCAGTCCTATATTTAAATTATGCAAAAGCATTTGGCAAAACTCCAGATCATTCACCTATCGAAATAGGAAACATTTAGAATGGGAGGAAAACTACTCAAACTCCTGGCTTCTTATCTTGATAACCGAATAAATTGTTAAACTTGAAAAAAACTCATCTGATCTACTAGAAATCACTAGTGGTGTACCCCGAGGGTCTATACCAGGCCTTTACTTTGCCTTATTGTTATAAGACAAACTTATGGGAAACTTATTAGTCCAATTGAGGAATATTAAACAGCTTCCAACAGCTGAACAAAAGGACTTGGGCCTCAAGATAACTCTAAATTTAACATGGAATGAAAACTGCGAAAGTCGTGGATACTGGATACTAAACTCTGACCTTGATTACACAGAAAGACTACTGAAACTCAATTAGCACTTTTTTTACCATTAAACCTTTTCTTTTGCATTTATCCTTGATTTCTCATACAAATGAAATATCCATCAACATTCAAATCTGCAATGATGAGAAAACTGGCCAACAGAGTAGAGGAGAACACGTTATCGACAATAACAGATTTATCAGAAACGATAAGAAAATTTTTCCATAGATCTAAAATAGTATACATTGTCATCAAACACTCAAAGAAAAGGGAAACCAACTTGATAAATTCGTCTACAAGTGCATCAATCGGAAAAAACTTGAAGCTAAAGGGAACTCACGAACCCTTGGTGAGAATAGTTTCCCTACAGCCTCAATTTGTACTACTACAAAGAGGGCAATTACAAACATTATGCAGATCGCACGTCAACAATCAGAATAGCAGAAAACTACTGGTGAATCAGAAGCTGTAGTGCTCTTATAAACTCAGACCAAAGAGGGGACCAACATGTAAGCGAAATCGGAGAACCATACTTCATAGCCCTAAATGAGAATCTCCCAACCCGGGTCACCAAAACCTGTTCAAGCTCACTTGACATCACATTTACACCTGATCTGGCCATGAATGCAATTTGGAGCACTGAACTAGCACCTGGATCCGACCACGTTCTCATCTACATTAACCTCACCTGTGACATCAAACATTTAAAAGCAGCGAAACGCTCATACCATAGTTCAAGAAAACAGACTGGTTGAAATTCCGTGAGGAAACAAGAATTGTTTCAAAAAGCGCAATACTCAAGCCATGTTTTTAAGGATGAAAAATACTACCAAAATATCATCAACAAAGCCGCATCACGAAATGTCCCACAGGGCCGCATACCTGAAAAACCTCCCTGGAGAGGCACTGACAAAAAGTATGAAAGAGACAACATACAGAAAGAACACCCAATCATCACAGCCCTCAATCTCAAAATAAAAAATGTAAGATAATAAGCGCTGAAAATTGATTTCATTTCTAGAAAAGTCTGACCACAAGTACAATCAAGCAAGTTATGATCGACTATAAAATAACTTTCCGGACAAAATTCACCAAAAACATCTAGAAACCAATTATTTTTAGTGATGGCCCCACAATCTATGATGCTGAGTTGTGCGCCAAGCGCTTGAACGAACAATACATACCCCGCCCAGACAAAACTGAAAAAGGCAACAATTTGGCATTAATTATATATGGCTTTAGATATTAGCTATTAAATAGATAGATAGATAGAAAAGACTTAAATTACACTCTTACGAAGTATGCCATGGATCAAACGTTGAACTAAACTTTACCTTTTCAGCTCTATCTCTGAGATCTTTGGCCTCCTTTTCGCATTTTGTGGCTTTTTCCCTAAACTTTTCCAAGTCGTTTGTTAATGTTACTATCTTTTTCTTGACTTGATCGATGCCACTTCCATCAGCCATTTTTTCCAACTGTTATCTGAAAAACAATCAAAAGGCAACCTTAAATCTATGAATGGGCTTTTTATTGAGGCATACTTGGTTTTTCTAAATGAAAATGAAGAATCAGAAAGAACCACTAAAATGACTACGCTTCAAAGCATGTGAAGGCATACTTTGAATTCACTGGTCCGATGAATCCAGAGATTCCCGTCACTTGTTTCTGTGCCTAAAACGCACGTTTATGCATGTCCCAGGTCTTTCCCCACCATGTTTCGAGAAAAAAATCGTATACCGACACGACCTCTAGAACCGAGTAACTAGACTATGAAGCATCTAGAATTAATGGGTAATTAAGTTTGTAATGAATTAGTTTTAGCTCAAAAAATAAGTTTTGGGTCTGTACCATTGGGAGACTTCGGTTGTCCACCTTTAAGCCGAAGGTTCGCTCTGGTCCACTCGAATTTACTCTCCTCTCCCTGTTTTTAGGGAGACCTCGTGGTCTGGGGATACTGAGACCCAGCCTTGAGCTCACTATTTTGCATGTAACTAAGTTAATCTGAGCGTTCTGACCGATAGCCCAAAACAGTAACGATTTTGTCGACCCGATATTCAAAGGACGACACAAAGAAGAACTGGCTTTGGCAGAGACGGTTAAAAGCATGTAGAGCTGTGTTTAGACGCTAGCCAGTCGTTTTACAACATAGCTTTGTTTTCCATCGATATGTACTTCCGGGCCAATATTAAAAGGCTGATTATTATGATGGGCTTATTGAATAGATGTGTAATGTTAATTAAATAATCAGAAGGTCAAATGTATCATAGTAACTTAGGATACAATCAGGAGTCCTTTAATCACATATTCCAGTCAAAACCATTGGAATTTTTTAGATATGGAAGAGTAAAATACAACGTTGATAGATGTAAAGAGAGTCAGATGATTGGGAATCAAGCCAACCAAGTGTCAATCATTTATGTAAGAGTCGCCTACTCAAGTCACACATGAGGTTAAAGATAAATAGGCCCTATAACCCTTGGGTCAAGAGTCAGGGACACTATCTCTTGTGTTTTCTACCTCAAGTGGTCGGAGCTAAATCAATTCAATTGCGACATGAGAAAAAAACCCGTGTTACAGCTTACAGGCCACTACCAACATACCCCCCCCCCCCTCTAGAAAACAAGAATGTCCCCATACTTAGGTCTCAAAAAACCTAAAATACACAAACGCCGTTAAAAACAGGGTCGGAACCTTATATATGGTTACTTTTTATTGGACAGTGGACCTTTGATCCATTTCAGATGGATCAACCATAAAAATCTCCCTAACTCAACATAACAATATGAAACACACTCAAGAAATTTAAATTTGGTGCTCACATACCGACAAGACCTCTAGAATCGAGTAACTAAACTATGAAGCAACTCTAGAATTGATGGTTAATTAGGTTTAACTTCAAAGCAAGTGAAGAGGCATACTTTAAATTCACTGGTCCGATGAATCCAGAGCTTCCCGTCACTTGTTTCTGTGCCCGAAACGCGCGTTTATGCATGTCCCAGGTCTTTCCCCACCATATTTCGAGAAAAAAAATTGTAATGCAATAAAACTTGGCATGGTGATAAACTAACAATCCGAATGAGATATTCTTCATACCTTACATCGTAACTTACTAGGTCTGTAAGTTGATAACAGCGTATTCATACTCGTCAGAGAGAAGAGAAGTACTACATTAATCTATCAGAATCGAGATCACTGATACGAGTACAGCCATTTACTACAGAAAACGGTTCACCGCAAGACGATCCAGTGTGACATACGACCATCATGGCGCCAAAATGCATAGCAACTTCGAAATTTTATTGTAAGCGTAGACTGGGAAGATTGACAGTTTTGGTAGATTAATTGTACTAATCGTTAGATTTGCCGAATCAGGAAAAGTCTGTTGAAAGTGACCAAATAAATTTTTAAAATTCGTTCTGAAATAAAGACACGTCACGACCTTGAAATTTTGCTACAACTGAAAATGTGAGAAAACAGATGAACAATATTCGCTGACACAGAGGAGACGTACGAGAAAATATTAGCGAAAGGCGAAATTATAGTTGGCGTTGTTAACGGAAGATCATTCCGAATTGTAACGATTGTAGCTGTACAATCGTTACCGAAGACTTCCCGAGAATTAGGAAGGGTTTTGAGACGACTTTACCAGCCTTTCGGCAGGACGATAAGACCGCTCTTCGTCGGGGTTCCAGAATCCGGAAAGGTCTCGGGAACGAAACTGTAACTCCTTTTTAACAACTTTTAGCTTCCTGGAATGCCCTGAATTGAATTTAATTACCACCGAACTCATTTTCAGAGTATGAGCAGCTAGGAGTTGAGGGAAAGGGTTGATCCATCTCCGCTGGAGATGATGATTTTTATCTACTGAACAGAAAAACTAGTAATATAACAAATAAGTTACAGCCCTATTTTTAGGAAGACCTCGTGGTCTCGGGATACTGAGACCCAGCCTTGAGCTCACTATTTTGCATGTAACTAGGTTAATCTGAGCGTTCTGACCGATAGCCCAAAACAGTAACGATTTTGTCGACCCGATGTTCAAAGGACCACACAAAGAAGAACTGGCTTTGGCAGAGACTGTTTAAAGCATGTAGAGCTGTGTTTAGACGCTAGCCAGTCGTTTTACAACATAGCTTTGTTTTCCATCGATATGTACTTCCGGACCAATGTTACAAGGCTGATTATTATGATGGGCTTATTGAATAGATGTGTAATGTTAATTAAATAATCAGAAGGTCAAATGTATCATAGTAACCTAGGATACAATCAGGAGTCTTTTCATCACATATTCCAGTCAAAATCATAGGAATTTTTTAGACATGGAAGAGTAAAATACAACGTTGATAGATGTAAAGAGAGTCAGATGGTTGGGAATCAAGCCAACCATAATAGGAAACTAACATCTGCGCAGATTAAACCGGAGTTGGAATAAACTCACAAGGATTGACTAAATATGAGTCTACGTATCAATCATTTATTAAACAGTCGCCTACTTAAATCACACATGAGGTTAAAGAAAATAGGTCCTATAACCATTGGCTCAAGAGTCAGGGACACTATCTCTTGTATTTTTCTACCTCAAGCGGTCGGGACTAATTCGGTTCACTTGCGACATGAGACTAAAACGCGTGTTACAGCTTAAAGGCCACTACCAAACAAGAAAACAAGAACGTCCCCGTACTTAGGTCTCAAAAAACCTAAAATACACGATCTCCGTTAAAAACAGGGTCGGAACATTATATATGCTTACTTTTTATTGGACAGTGGACCTTTGATCCATTTCAGATGGATCAACCTAAAATTTCTCCCTAAATCAACATAACAATATAAAACACACTCAAAAATTTTAAATTTGGTACTCACATACCGTCATGACCTCTAGAATCGAGTAACTAAACTATGAAGCAAATCTAGAACTGATGGGTAAAAAAGTTTAACTCGAGTTTGTAATGAATTAGTTTTAGCTCAAGAAATAAGTTTTGGGTCTGGACCATTGAGAGACTTTGGTTGTCCACCTTTCCACCGAAAGTTCACTCTGGTCCACTCGAATTTACTCTGCTTTCTCTCGCGATTACTTTTTATCTCCTGCCAAGAATGAGACAGCTCTACTCTCGTTCGTATTATTTATCAAAAATTGCGAAGAGCAATTTCCCGCTGCTATTTTTGACTACTTTCTCGCGATTGTAGTTTGAATCTTCTGATCTTATTTTCCCGATATTTTCAGTTGTCGCGAGAATCTTGAGCATGACATGCTCAATTCGAATTTTTGAAAAATTGCATTTCACCACAAAATCAAGGGTAAAAGTTCTCTCAAGGTCAAACTTCCAAATATGACCGACTGGCACATCACTTACACTAAGTTGCCGTTTTGTTCCCTGGCTCTATAAGTAAGAAGTTAGTTAGAAGTCTGTGGTGAATATTTTGTTTGTGGGGGCAACCCCTTCAGCACCTATCCCTTCAGTATTTTATTGTATTGTATGAACCCGCCGAAGCACTAGAAAAAGAACAATAAAGGCGTTAGCATCAGATTGGAAATGAAAAGAAGCGTCGGAATATTATAGAAGTTTTGAATTTTAAGTTTTCGATTCGAACCAGATCATTTCTGAGAAATGAGGGAACGGGCATTTTGAATGATAAAAGAGAAAAAAGAAAGAAGAAAGAGAGACGCCAAGAAAATAGGACGAAGAACAATTCTGAAAAATAGAGACGAAACGGAGCTTCTTATCGTTACGATCAGGCACAATAAGACGCTTAGCTGAAGCAGATAAGAAAAAAGGAGGCTTCAGTGGGACAGCCGGAGCTGATACCTACCCTCCCGTGCCGCGAAATTGCGGAGATAGTGACGTTATCTCTGAGGGGAATTGGAATTGGAGGCCCGGTGCCCAGAGACTGTGTGAAATTATTAAAGGTACTCTTTAGCTGCTGTAATGCCCTGAATAGTTGAATTAACTACGGTTTTACATAGTATTTCAGAGCATGGGTAGCTAGAAAGAGGAAGAGTCAATCCATCCCTACTGGATTTAGTATATAACTGTCACTGAAACGCATGTATGAGTAGCTAGAGAGCACGAGTAGCTTGAGAGAGGAAGAGTCATTCTATCCCCAATGAATTTAGTATATAACTGCCACTTAACCGCATCTTCGCATGTAAACGAAAGCTAATCAAAAGTCGTTTGACCGATGGCCTAATATTGGTAACTTTTTACTTCGCCCTAAACAGACCAGAAAACTAACTGGCTAAGTCTAGACGGTAAAAAACGAGTAGAATTAAGGTAACTGACACCTGCCAGTCTTAAATAGGTGCTTTTTCTACGCTCCGTCACTGTGCAATGTTTGGGCAAATATTGCGGGAGATGGATCAACCCTTTCCCTTGACTCCTAGCTTCTCAATATCTGAAAGTGAATCTGATGTTGTTTTTAATTCAATTCAGAACATTTCGGTAAGCTCAAAATTTTTAAAAACAAATTCAGTTCACAGTTTTTCCCT